CTGCCTTTTCCAGAGTGTCCTATAGTTAGAGCCCTGCCACTATCTCTTTTCAGTCTTTGCTGAGTGGCTTCCTCCATATTTTTTCATGACTATTCTTTTTTTTTTTTTTCCCATGCAAGTATTTTTGAGTACCAGTTTCTGTGCCAGGCAAAGGCAGGATACCAGGCAGATGGTGTCAGAAAATGGACACAGTTCCTGCTCTCTGGAGGCTGAGTTTGCAGGAAGAACAACATCAATAAATAAATATTTGGCCATGAAGATATGCCTAAGAGAAAGAACAAGAGGGTCCTGACTTGGAATGTTAAGGGGGTAGAAGAGAGATGCCGGGGCCCTCCCTGATGGCACAATGGTTAAAGCGCAGCACTGCAAGCTGGCCACAGCCTCTTAACTGCAAGTTCGATTCCCAACCCCAGCGGTGACCCACATGGCGTGGCAGACCTCTCCTGACCTGCCCGCTGCTCCTCTCAGCAGTGTACTTCGTTGATCTGCTTGTTCTGCTCCCCACTCTGTCTCTGGTGAATTCTCTCACTGTCCCTGCACCTCTCCTTTGTACCCCAATTCTGTATGAATAAATTAATCTTTAAAAGAGCAAAAAAGAGATGCTGTCGAGGGGTGAGTAGAAGTGGGAGCGAACAGCATTGTAAGCTGTTGTTTTAGCTTCAGAAATCCTGCCTACTCTTGACAGTAGCCTTTTCCAGAAAGTCTTCCCAGCTAACTTCTTGACAATGTATTTTAGGCACCAGTGCCTTTCTCTGAGAGTCTGCTCAAAACATCGGATCCTTTTTCCAGAAAGTTGGGACAAGGCAACTCAAGGGAAAATCAGGAATAGTGAAATTTGGCTGAGCAAGGAGGAAAGTCAGAATGTTGTGCCTCTGGGCAAGCAGGTAGAAACGACTGTACCTGTGGCCATCAGGGCAGACCAGGTACGTTAGCGGGGGCTCTCCCACTCCCACAGCCTTACTGCAAGTGTGCCAGATTCCTAGGTGTTTGCAGGTGTTTTTCCTGCTGAGTATCACTTCCTTCTTGCCCCTCCTATAGATCAGGCCTTAGATGTGACTCTCTCCTCCACACTTCCCACTGACTGCAGTTTGGACCAGCTGGCCTTCCTCTGAGGGTCCAGGCCATACTGTACTCACATTTCAGTTCTGTCTTCATTTCTCCCTTCTATTATTCCTTCTCCCTCCCTTTATTCACCAGTGATTTGTTATGGGCGCCCGGCATGTTTTAATGACATCAGCACGGTAGAACAATGATGAGCAGAGCAGACCCCAACCCTGCCCGAAAGGAGCTGGTAGTCTAATGGTGACCATGCAAGTTCTTCAAACAGTGAAGATGAACAGCACACGAAGAAGCCAGGTCTTTAAATTAAATTGGCGGGACCTCCCTGGTGGCACAATGGGTTAAAGCGCAGCACTATGAAGCTATCTGCAGCCACTGCAGCACAAGTTCGATTCCTAGAACTTGGGAGGTGACACACAGTGTGTGGCAGACCTCTCTTGACCCACCTGCTACTCCCCTCAGCAATGTGTTTCAGTACATCTGGTCTGCTCCCCACTCTGTTTCTGGTGAATCTTCTCACCAAACCTCTGGCCTGTACCTTAGTTCTTGTATGCATAATAAAATCTTTTTATAAAAACTAATTAAACTGGTAATAAAAGCTCTTCCATAATTAAAAACTAAATAAAAGGCTGGAAAAGGATTACTTAAGTTTTCTGTTCTTATCAATAAAACTTAGCAAAGGCAATGAGCTATCACTACCACAATCACATTCATTATATAAAATGGTCTCTCTGGAGTTATGCTTGCACTCCTGCTGGCCTTGAAGAAGTAAGCTGCTGTGCTGTGAAACCCCAAGAGGGTGGACAGTGTGGTTAAAGAACTGTACATCACCTGTAAAATGGAGGCCCTCAGCTCCTTCAGGCCAGTGACTCCCCGAGCTTGGAAGAACATTCTTCCCCAGCTGAGTCTCAGGATGAGAATGCAGCCCAGCTGTGAGGTGAGGGGGGCGGAAGATTTGGTTGGTTTCATTTTTATTTGATTTCTTTGAGTAGAGGAATCAACCAAACCAGGACCAGACAACTCACCCACGTAAATTGTGAGATAATAAAGATGTGTGTAAAAAAGTTTTCTATTCTTAGATGTATTGCTAACTAAGGAAAGCCCTGGGTTATGGGGCTTACTCTTATTTCTGCATATGTAAACAAGAGGGGAAGGAAACAATTTATATAAGCTTTTGGCACTTTCCGAAAGAAAAGTTATGGGTTCACCAGGTTTGTTGGGTCCTTACCTCTAAGCAGGCTAGGAGGACAAACCAGAAAAGAGATCCCAACATGAACACTTGACTCAAGCTTTGCTTTAGCAGCTCCAAGAAGGTGGAGACAGTCATGGGCCCATCGATCTTCATAGTTGGTCACAGGCTGGAATTCTGTCCTGTTTTACTACTTGGTCACCATTCCTCTGCCTCTTCCTGGCCCATGAGCTTCAAAAGAGTGGGTGATGCAGCCATCTAACTTTTTTTTTATAACAGTTTTATTGGGATATAACTCCTCCTAAAATTCACCCTCTTAAAATACACAATTCAGTTGCTTTTAGTGTATTCACAGTTGTGCAGTCATAATATCAGAACATAAAACTTTTCCAAGAGAAACCCATGTCCAACTTCCATGAACCCTCACCTGCACAAAGACCTGCTTTGTATGGATTTGCCTGTCCTGACTTACTGTAAAAATGGACTCATACAACCATGTGACCGATTATGACTGACTTTTTCACATAGTGGGATATTTTCAAGGTTTACGCTTATTGTAACTTTTATCACTATTGATTCCTTTTTGGCCTAAGAACATTTCATTGTGTGCATCTGTTTATCTGTTCTTCATTTGTAGATATCTGGGTACTTTCCACTCATTGTTATTATGAAAGTGTATCTGTGAACATTTGTATACTCACATTTGCGTGGTCGTAGGGTGTCGTTTCTCTTGCGTTGGTTGGACCGTGAGTTGAACTTGCTGAGTTGGGTTGTGTGTGTCCCACCCACTTTGAGGAACTGCCAAACCACAGTGGCCACACTACAGGAGCCAGCAGTGAAGGAGGGTAGCAGTTTATCCACATCCTCACCAACATTGGCTTATTTCTGTCTTAGCTTTTTTCCTAGCCATCCCAGTGAGTGTGAGGATGTGACTCATCATGGTTTCGATTTCCTGATCAGTAACACTGAGCATCTTTTCATGGGCTTATTGGCTATTTCTGTGTCTTCCTTGGAGAAGCAGCTAGTTGGTCCTTTGCCCATTTTTTAAGTTGAGTTGCCTTTTTATTGTTGAGGTCTAGTAAGAGCTCTTTATAGATCCAAATGCAGACTCATATTGATACATGACTTTCTACCATTCTGTGGATTGGCTTCATATTCTTGGTAATAGTATGTTTTGAAATGTGAAAGTTTTTGATTTTGAAGTACAAGCTCGTTTTTTCCCTTCTGTTGCTTCTGCTTTTGGTGTTGTAGTGAAGATACCAACATTAAATGTCATAGAAATTTGTTCCTATTCTTTTCTAAAAGTTCTATAGCTTTAATCTTTCACCTAGGTCTATGATTATCTTATTCCAGATTGTATCACCCCGTGGCTAGAAGAACGCCTGATGTGTAGAAGGTACTTGGTACATATTAAGTAGAATGAATACTATCTCTTGAAGGAAGGAAGGAATGAACAAAATGATATCTCCTTGCCCTAGAACTATTGCTACATAACCCCAAGGGTTAAGAGAGTGACATTAGATAGAAGAAGGGCACCAGTTCGCTTTTAATCTCACTCCCTATGACCTGCCACTAGTAAATTCTCACAATTCCTTTTCTTCCAGCTTCTCTTTTCCTATTTTTTCTTAGTTTTGTCTCTCTTTAGTTTCCTTTTTTTACAAAAATGTTACTAAGCCTTTTCCTGAAAAAAATCCTGTCTGTTACACCTTGATATCATCATAAATGCAGTCGTTTTATAAGAAAAAATTTTCCTCATGAAAATCTCCTCCCTAGTGGTATAGGGGTTAAGTCTCAGCACTTACCACCATGATGGCCTGAGTTCAACCCAGGGCCAGGGAGTTCACCCATATAGCACAGCAGACCGCCCCTGTCTCGCCTGCTACTCCCCGCAGCAGTATATTTCAGTAGACCCGCCTGCTCTGATCTCCACTCTGTCTCTGTGAATCCTCTCATCCCCTGCACCTCTGACCTACACCCCAGTTCTTCTACACAAAAATTTAAGAAAATTAAAAAGTCTTGATTGGTTTGCTACTTGTTTTTTCTTGAGCGTGGTGAATAAATTCAGATAATATGGCAGTGTATAAATAATAAAGTAGATTAGCAGTTACTTCCTGGGGCAAAGTATGTTGTCTGGAACTTGTATTTAGGAAAAATGTTATGTGCATTAGAGAGAGAAAAGGAGGAATGCCATCAGCTAACAAATCTGGGTGAAGGCTGTTTGGGAGTTCTTTGTGCTGTCATTTTTGCAACTTTTTTATGTTGAATTTTTTCAAAAAAGCTATCTCCGGAAGTCCCACACACCAAGGGAGTAAATCCATGGCCCATGAAAGAGCACTGTGCTGTGCTCCATTCATTGTTTTCATTTAATCCTGAAGTATGTAGGAGGAAACAAAGGTGAAGGCAGATGACCAGGATCACACTGCTGGGTTGAGTAGAGAAACTGACCTTGATTGTGGGTCTCTGACTCCAGGACCCATGTCTGTTGCGGCTTTGTGGCCCTCAGGTGGTCACCCTTTCGTGGAAATGACCAGCTTCCTGGGACCTGATTACCTCCTTTCTCTGCTTAGGTGCCGGGGAAGGGGTGAGGAGTTGGGGGGGCAGGGACATCCAAGAATTTCTGGAACTGAAAAAACCGAACAGGTCATGAAAGGAATCAGTGCCTTACCCCGGTCAGCAGGTGGTCTCCCTCTCATCGGGGGGCCTCAGGGCTCTCAGGAGGTAGCCCTGACCCCCCTTTGCCCTCCTGTTCCAGGAACTGAAGCTGCCCGCCTTCCGTGCCCATTCCCCTCTCTTGAAGAGCCGCCGGTTCCTTGTGGACATCCTGACCCTTCTGAGCAGCCACTGCCAGCTCTGCCCCACAGCCCGGCACCTGGCTGTCTACCTGCTGGACCACTTCCTAGACCGCTATAATATCATCACCTCCAAGCAACTCTACGCTGTGGCCGTCTCCTGCCTCCTGCTCGCAAGTACGTGCTTGGAACGCCCTTCTTCACTGTGCGCCACAGGGCTCGTAGGTCGTTTTATGTTTCCTTGGTTCTTTGCACATCTCTTTTCATCCTTAGCTGAATGCAAACCACAGTAATAATAATCAACATTTTCTTTCGCGTCTGTAATGTGCCAGGCTAAGTGATAAGAATTTTAGCAGCTTGACCTCGATGAACAATGACCCTGGGAGACAGATACTATGAGTACCCCCATTTTAGTGAGACACAGCAAGGTTAAGAAACTGACCTTGGATCTCTGTTGCCATATATAATAGACAAGATTTGAGTCCCGACGGATATGCAGCGTGGTCCCCAACCTGTTCTTTTGACCCCATGTCGTCTGTTTCTGTCTGTTGCTACATAGCAAGGAGCCTGCTACCTGATGTGCCGAGAAGCTGACATCATGATCGCAGGTTTTGAGAAAATAGAGCTTTACTGTGAATCAGTTGGCCAGGAAGCAGGTGATAGACTCAAACCTGCCTCCCCAGTTAAGAAAGGGAATTAGGTTATGGGGCTGGGGGATGGAGGGTAGAATGGAGTTGAGACAATAAAGAGTCAAATTTTACTGGCTACGGAGCAGGGAAGGGCAAAGAAGTGCCTGGATGTGCTCGTTGGAGGGCAGATCACCGTGGAGGAGAAGGAAGAGGTTTTGGTTTTTTTTGTTGTTGTTGTTTAGATAACTGGAGTTGAATTTCTGCTGGGGGGCTGGCCCCTCATCTCTGGGTAACCCCCCTCCTCTGTGTTTACTGTCTCCTGCTTCCAGCTGGCCTTGGGGCTCTGCTGAAGGTCAGCCTCTTCTGTTTGCTCAGGTCATTTGCAGATAAACTGCTTTTGTGAATACAAGCCTGAAAGAGAATTAGATAAGATTTTTTTCTTTGGTGCTGTAGGCTCTGAAAGCAGCTTCACTTAACCATTTTGCTTCATTGTAGTTTGGAGTCTCAGAATGTGCTGGGGGTGGAGGGAGACAAGCCACCACCACCACTGTTCTTAGAGGCAGCGGAAGTATGACTGCTGAACTTGGCCCCAAGTAGGACCAGTGAAGTAGCCACCTGGCGAGGCATGGCCCTCTCTGGGTCTGTATCTTGCACAGGATACCTGTGTCCATGTCTTCTGCATCATCAGGATGACTGCACAGATGCACTGCTGCTGAGGTCACATGCTTAAAAAATACTCTGCACTCCGGTCCCGCCTCCTAAAACCACCCCTGCTTCTCCAACCACCTTAGGCCAGCCACCAGCCTGTCAGGCCTCTCTGACCTTGTGCCTCTTCTCCTCTTCACTCCCTGGTTCTAACCCAGCCCTGCCTGTATAGAACTTTACACCTGCTGCTCCCTCTCCTCTGCCAGAGAGCTTCTTTTCCCTCTCCCTGCATGCCCAAGCCTGGTTAATGTCTCAGGGGCCCCCTTCCCTAAGGGGCCAACCCCCATCCTAAGCTGGCAAGGTCTCCCTTATGTACACTCACATGTGCTTTTTTTTTAAAGATTTATTTATTCATACAGAACTGGGGTACAGGCCAGAGGCGCAGGTGCGGTGAGAGGATTCACCAGAGACAGAGTGGGGAGCAGAACAGGCAGATTGACAAAGTACACTGCTGAGGGGAGCAGCGGGCGGGTCAGGAGAGGTCTGCTTCACCATGTGGTCACCTCTGGGGGCAGGCGGGGATGGAACTTCATGCTAAAGTGGCTTTAGCTTCTTAGTGCTGTGCTTTAACCCGCTGCACCACCAGGGAGGGCCCACATGTGCCTTTAATGAACACACTCTCCTCCTCCACTCAGCAGTGAGCCTCAGGGAGTGAAAGGGACCCAGTGTAAAACCTCAAAAAAATAAATGTTTGTGAAATAGCTGACGAGAACGGACTGAGCAGTGCAGAGCGAGGCTGCCACACATCTCTAGGGCACCCTTCTGCAGAGCAGCAGGTGACCCCAGTGGCCTGATGCCAACATAACAGCTCCTGGTATTTGCCCTTTCCTAGTGTTTATCCTTAAAAATTCAAGCAGCTTTTATTTTCTTCTCCGTGATTTGCCATTGTCCTATTTATGTAGCCCCCATTGTGGGGGCTACTCATGCTTAGAGGAGAATGCCCACCCCCCAGGGGGCTTTGTCTGCTCCTGGCGGGCCGCCCTGCGCCCCCAAGTAGATCACCCAGGGCCAATGCGTGGCTTTATTCTTCTCAGAGCTCTGCCTTGTTTGCCACCCTGCACCATCCACCTGCTGTTTCATATAATCCTGTGCCATTTGGGATTTTCTCCACCCTGGGCTAGCTGGGTTGCTGTGCTTTACAGAGGAGCTGTCTTGCTGGCTGTCAGGTCTGCTTGCCACTGAAACATGGTAAACCACGTGCTGAGGGGATGTGAGACTTAGGAGACACCCCCATCAGGGGCGGCAGAGTGGGCATCATGTTTCAGGCAGCCTGGAGGCTCTGGCCGGCCTTTGGCCTGCTGCTGTCTGTGATCTGTGGGCTGCATCAAGACCCGCTGGGGCCAGGGGCTTAGATTTCCATGGGGCCATGGAGGCTGGCCCCCAGCATCTGTCTGGGGAGCTGAGAAGTAAGGCTCACACTGGAGACTCCTTTGTGCTGTGGAGAGAGGGGGTGTTTTAGTTGAAGAGGCAGACACCCCCACCCACACGTCTGGGGCAGCAGCCTGCCTCAGGCAGCAGGAAGGGATTTTTCAAGACACCTGCCATATGCTTAGAAGCCTGAGGAAAGAAAAGTTTCCATGACAGCCTGAAATCCTATTCATTCTATCCTCTCCTCTCCTCAGGCCGACTGTCAGGCACAGGAGAGGTCACCTTGCCTCAGGAAGTTTTGAGTTCTGCTAATTCAGTACCAAATAATTCCCAGATAGGAAGAGCCATGGCTTCCTGCCCCCACCTGCCACTTTCTTAGGTTTTTCCAGCTGCTTTCAAATGAGGCCTTTGTACTGATGGTCAGATAGAACCTTCTCACCCACCGACAGCCCCTCCTTCTCCGTACAGGAGGCCCATCAAGGAAGGGTCCAAGTCTACAGACCTACAGAAAAAGGTGGAGAACCAAGGGCCCATAGCTTGTTTCAACATAGTGGACAAGTGGAGAAACACCCTCCCCAGCCCCGGTAGTCTCTCTCTGACCCAGTTTATCATTTGTTTCCTCCCTTCATGCACCTAGAATCCCACCACAGAGTAAGTACAGTCTAGATAGAAGCATACTATATCACAGAGCAGCTCTCCTCCTTAATCTTCCATGTTAGACAACCCCTTCTCCGATGTCCTTCTGTGGCGGTGGTTCACAACAAGAAACTTGGCAATTCCCAGATGCGTTGGCTTGGACGTTGTGCAGTAACAATCCCCACAGGGCAGCAGGGACTGCGTTACTTACCTGTCCCTTTCTCTGTGCCCAGGCCTATGCCACATGCTTGACATCACATGAAATCCTCCCACCAGCCAATGTGGTTGTGCTGGCATCTGCCCGTTCTGTAGGTTCAGAGAGGCTGAGTAACTAGTCCAAGATCACACAGCTCCAGGAATGGTTTTGGTTTTTGTTTTTGAAATTGAAGTAAAGTTCCTGTCATGACATGAAGTTCAACCTTTTAAAAGAGTATAATTCCTAGGGACCCTCCTGGTAGTACAAGGGGTTAGTCGCAACATTATAAAGCTATCCACAGCCACCGTAGCATGAGCTCGATCCCCAGCCAGGGAGCTGACCCATATGGCACAGCAGACCTCTCCTGTCCCACCCGCTGCTCCCCTCAGCAGTATATTTCTGTACAGCTACCTATTCTGCTCCCTACTCTGTCTTTGGTGAATCCTCTCACCGTCCCCCACCCCCAACCCCACCATGACACATCTGGCCTTACGCCAGTTTTGTATGTATAAATAAATAAATCTTAAAAAAAAGAGAGAGCCAGTACAATTCCATGACATACGGTGTATTCCCACTGTATTTCCATACCCCAAAAGTAGGCCCCGTCACCTCTATTCCTTTCCACCCCCAGCACCTGACAACTACTAACCTGTTTTCCATTGGTGTAGATCTCCTTTTTTGGATATTTACTATCAGAGGAGTCGCATACATGACCTTTTGTGTCTGCTTCTTGTACATGTCATTCCTTATTATAGCTGAATAGGGTTCTGTGGGTGGCCACACCATAACCTGGGTACCCAGTCATCATCAGTTGATAGATATTGGGCCGTTTTCTCTCGTATGTTACTATGATAGGTGTTGTCTTGAACTTCTGGGTCCCAGTTTTGTTTGATCGCCTGTTTCCGATTCTCTTGGGTAGAAACGTAGGGTGGAGTTGCTGGTCATAAGGTCCTTCTATGTTGGACATTTTAAGGAAGGAAACTTGGAGTTTTGCTTTCGCTTGGTTGTGGCTGCTCAGACATGACTGGTGCTGTGTCCTCAGCCCAGCATCTAGGCCAGCCTGGGGACAGGGAGAGAGGAAAAGAAAGTCAGAAGGTGGAGACAGGCCCAGCGGCCTTTGTGCTAGGGCCTTAAATGTGAGATCCCATTATGATGATACAGGAAGCATGAGACGCGTTTTATTGTGAAAAACCTCAAAAGATCAAATTTCTACCAGGGCCCTCCCTGGTAGTACAAGGGGTTAGATCACAACACTATAAAGCTTTTGTAAAAACTGATAAAAGTATCGTGGGAAAAAGCCAATTTCCTCCCTGAACCCGTGACTCACTCCCACAGTTGGGTGTGTGTTCGTCCAGACCTAGATGCACTTCTGTCTTTCCATAATGGGAAAATGGACTTACTTCCTTTATGGGGGAAGGAGGCCAATCGCACATATACCTATATAAATCCATCCACTAAGCAGGATTGCTGGGTTCCCTGTTTTGTTGTGTGTTGCCATTCTTTTCTCTCCATCTGATCCCAATTTCAACATGCTTGTTCCTCGCTAACTTCTGTGTTTTGTTTTGTTTTTTAAAGATTTATTTATTTGTGCGTACAGAACTGGGATACAGGCCAGAGGCTCAGGAGCAGTGAGAGGCTTCACC